TGACTCTGTGGTCATTAAAAATCCCTGGATGTCTTTCGAAAAGAGTAGGAGTTTAACCCATCACTCACCAATCAGCTGGTATGTGGTGTGCGGTCTGGCGCAATATGGCTGCTGTCGCATCATCCAGATGTGGGGATTCCCCCCTACTATGTGTAAAGCACTTTGAGTGTCCAGAAAAGCGCTATATACAGTGGAAACCAGAAGTTTACATGCAAAAAAGAAGCATAATCATTTAAAAAAAAATGTCTAGTGGTAAATAATTTTTAGTATTAACTATTTTTCTGTTAGTATTACCTAAATGATTTACATTTGCTAAATGCCAGAATAATGAGAGAATTTTTCAGAGAATTTTTTTATTAATTTTGAGACAGTCAAAAGTTTACGTACATTTAGCTTTGTTTTTAAACTGTATAACTTTGGTCAAATGTTTTGGTATCCTTCCACAACCTCTCACAATAGTTTGCAGGAGTTTTGGCCCATTCCTCCTGACAGAATTGGTGTAACCGTGTCAGATTTTTAGGCTGTCTTGCTCTCACAAGCTTTTTCAACTCTGCCCACAAATTTACTATAGGATTGAGATCAGGGCTTTGTGATGGCCACTCAAAAACATTCACTCTGTTGTCCTTAAAGCACATTTTACCTAATTTGGCAGTGTGCTTAGGGTCATGGTCTGTTTGGAAGACTCATTTGTGGCCAAGTTTTAATTTCCTGGCTGATGTCTTGAGATGTTGCTTCAGTATTTCTACATGATGTTCTTTCTTCATGATGCCATCTATGCTATTAAGTAGACCAGTCCCTCCTGCAGCAAAACAGCCACACAACATGATGCTGCCGCCCCCATACTTCACAGTTGGGATGGTGTTCCCAGGCTTGCAAGCTTTCTCCTTTGTCCTCCAAATGTAACACTGGTCATTATGGCCAAACACTTCAATCTTAGTTCCATCAGACCACAGGGCATGTCTCCAAAAATTACTCTTTTTTTTTTTTTTTTTCCCCAAGTGTAATTTAGCTGAGTTTTTTTAGAGGCATATTAATCTTATTGTATGTAATTCTGCTTTCAACTGTAAATGTATGGATTTATTATTATTATTATTATTATTATTATTATTATTATTAATGCTATTTTTATTAGTAGTAAAAGTAGTAGTATATGTAACATACATTTCTATTGTGCATAACTTAAGAGAACCCCAAAAGAACCACAGTAATGTTTACAAAACAAAAAGCATAACAATAAAAAAAAAAGTGTAACTCATTTAACATCAAGTTTCCTTAAACACCATATAGTTTAAGGAAACTTGCTGTTCAATGAATTAATTTTTTTTACTGTAACATTTTTAGTTTTTTACTGTTGAAACTACAGACATACTCATACGTGAACACTTTGTCTTGTAATTAGTTACACCACTGAACATTGTTAGCTAGTAGCAACATTATTCTGATGCATCTGAATATATTAGACTTGTTATGTATTTGTTATAATATTTACTGGAGAAAATATTTATATTTACTTCATACACGATAATAATATTAGGGTTATTTTCAATAATATTCATCAAAAAAGAATGGAATAAATGAAATCAGTTGTTGGAAATTATGTATAAGATGTCATTTAAAAGTTCTGTGTTAAAGCTTTTAGTACTGCAACACCAATTAAATAATTTCAAACAACAAAATTAATAATTATGAGGAAAATTCTAAATTTGAAATGCCTAAGTTAGATTTACTGTTGGACGTTGTTGCCATATGGCAACCAGTGGTCTAAAGTAACTAATTACAACAGTCGTTTTTCTCAGGAGTTTCTCAGGAATTTACCAAGTAGTTTTATAAATATGTACTTTTACTTTCACTTGAGTACATTTTTAGTGCAGTCATTGGTATTTTTACCCCACTACTTTCCTTCAACTTGCAGTCACTACTTTTTTTCCTGCCTGCGGGGATTAGAAAAATCAGCCCTTCAATTCCTGTCCAATCAAATCACACACAGAAGGTAAATCGCATCATAAGGAACTACCTCCCGCAGCAAACTTTGAAAAAAGTTTGGCAAAGTTTGGAAGCATTAAAAGTGTACAAGAAGATCATTTTTAAATGCATTGACCCAGAGACTGTTTTGATGCATGTCACTGATGAGAAGATGACTGTTGGGTCTGTATGATGACCCAAATGGCCTTAAACACCCAGCAGGCACAAGACGTCAACATGACGTCAGATTGACATTGTCCCCCATTGTCGTGGAGACGTTGCAGTTTATTTGGAAATGAAAATCATGTTGACGTTAGAACTCACCGTCAGGCCAAAGTCCAACCTAAAACCAACCAAATATCAACGTCTAATGATGTTACAGCTTGATGTTGTTTGGACGTTACCAGTATGACGTCTATCAGACATTGGATTATGGTTGCCATACCTGATGAATAAATGTCAGTGTTTGACATCATTGTCCTTAGACACTGGCTAGACTTGAAATGTGGTCACCTGACATCACAACCTAGATCTAACCTAATGTTAATGTCTTATGACATTGTGTGCAGGGCCGGCACGTCCATAGAGGCGACCTAGGCGGCCGCCTAAGTTATATCTGCGAATATGTCTTCTATTTGCTAAACGGTCACTTTCGTTTTCACGTTCGGATTGAGGGCGGCGTGATCGTTCGTTGCCTAGAGCGGCAGTTCCGCTTGCTCCAGCACTGGTTGTGTGCCTGCTGAGCTATAACCAAATGCCCTACAGAATGTTACGTTTACACACACATGCACAAATGTAAATGCATCAGCTTTTTACAGCGTGATGCTCACTACTCGCTACTCTTGAGTACTTTAGAAAGGGCTACTTTTTACTCATACTAATTTGTTACTAAAACTTACTAATGCTAATCTGTTGTAAACTTTACAACAGATACTTTTACTCTACTTGCACTACATTTTTTGGCAAGTATAATGGTACTTTTACTTGAGTATGACTTTTCAGTACTCTTTCCACCACTGATGGCAACATATCATGAAGTACCTTTAATAAATTCACCCAAAAAATTAAGCCATTAGGAGAGTTAAATATTCGGTTCTCGGACAAATATTATTTTATTTGAACAAACCATCTCTCAGTTTAAAAGAAAATTAGTTTTCTTGGTCCAGGGTCATGCAATTTTAATTAGGCTAGGCATGGTATTTTACTACAGGTTAGAAGGTAAATCCAGACATGTACGTTTTCAACTTTCACACAGTGTAAAAGTAGTGTTGAAATTGATAAATTGTTTTGCAAGTGGCGACGCAGTTTTTGCAGTAGGTAGTGTTGTTGCCTCACAGCAAGAAGTTTGTGTGGAGTTTGCATGTTGTCCCTGCGTTTGCGTGGGTTTCCTCCGCTTTCCCCCACAGTCCTGTACTTGCGGTACAGGTGAGTTGGGTGGGCTAAATTGTCCTTAGTGTATGAGTGTGTATGGATGCTTCCCAGAGATGGGTTGCAGCTGGAAGGGCATCCGCAGCGTAAAACATGTGCTGGATAAGTTGGCAGTTCATTCCACTGTGGCGACTCCAGATTAATAAAGGGACTAAGCCGAAAAGAAAATGAATTAATGTTTTGCAAGTTACCCAATTTCCACAGAAGCATGTCTGAGGAGCTTTACAACAAGCTTTAATAAACAGAGAGCGTTACTGATCGTATCTTCTACACTTGTCGTTTTAAATTTCCCCTTTAGCGTAGCCTCAGGTTAATGTTTTATAATGTTTTATAAGGCGTTTGCTGTGTGATTGACATGACGTGAATGCGATTTGTGACCTGAAACTAATGGCTGATGAAACGCTGAGGACCGATTGGGGCTCGGACCGGTACACTCACTCTATCCACCCACTCGCTGCCCTTTCACCCACTCAGCACACTTATTTATCCACTTCTCCGCTCTGCTTTTCATGTGCGGGTCTCTCTCTGTGTCCCGCGGTTGGTTACTCAGACTGATTTCATCTCATGCTCTCACAAAGGTCTTCTGATTCGCCGTTTTTATTTGATTCGGCCATTTTGCACAAAACTGTTCTCTGAAATGGGCCGCACTTGCACTACAAAAGAAATCAGTCTGAAGTGCATGCATCTCACTCATACTGTATGTGTGGTGAGGGGCGGTAAAAGCGCAGGAATATTAAACTATCACTGTAACTATGGGTAAAAAAAATGTACCACATTCTCTGAATAAGTCATCTGAATAATAGTTCTTAATATATATATATATATATATATATATATATATATATATATATATATATATATATATATATATATGTGTGTGTGTATATATATATATATATATATATGTATATATATATATATGTATATATATATATATATATATATATATATATATATATGTATGTATATATATATATCTTATATATATATATATATATAAAGTCTTTTCCCAGCTTGTAGTAGTCGATCAAAAAGCGATTTAGTTTCTTATGACTATACACCAGCAGTAGAGTTTACTGTGATGTGACGGGGCTTGATCATAATCAAGGAGCTTGATCAAAGGTTGATCATATTCTCTTCTGAAAAAAGAAGAGTATCTTTTTCAACAAAAAAAATGATCACAGTTACAGCCAGCATCCCACAAAAAACACTTTGAGCCTCATTTTGTGCACATCAAATCGCAAAATCCAAACAGCCACATTTGACTGCTTTGAAAGGAAACATTTTTTTTTTTACCCATTTTTCTATGTTAAAATATTATGGTGGGTAATGAGATTGAATTCCTTGCCTAGGTGGGTCCCGGAATAAAAAAGTTTGGGAATCCCTGCCATATAATACTCAGCTTTATTCAGTTGCAATTGTCAATATTTCAAGTGAACACAATTTAAATTCGGATGGTTTTTATGGTCACATTTTAAGCTCCATAATGTTTTGAGTGCATATGAGCTGAATAATAGACACATTGACCATGTTTCTGTTCTTTCTCATGTACTCAGAGGACTTGTTCCTTGCTAACTAAAGAGCCATTTTAACCATTTATGATTGTGCAGGAGTACCACGCTCAGCTGGAGGAGATGCGAGTGTCTATTCGTCAGCTGGAAGAGAATCTGTCGGCCGCTCGTCGCCGCAGTGACCTGTACGAGTCTGAGCTCAAAGAGTCCCGTCAGACCAGTGAGGAGCTCAAGAGGAAGGCAGTGGAGTATCAGCAGAAGATCCAGAAGGTTGGAAACAAGTCAGAAACAACAAATGGATCTGCTTATATGGGGTAAATAACCTTTGATTTGTCTGTGTTTTTACATTTCAGGCTAAAGAACAAGGGAAAGTTGAGATGGAGGAGCTTCTGAGCAAACTGCAGAAGGTAAATCTTTTTTTTTCTTTTTAGAATTTATTTTAGAAAGTTTTACATGTCATAACAAATCAAAACAAAACATAAAAAATAATAATAAACAAAAAAAATTAAATACTTTCTGTATATGTCCAATAACAAGCTAATATACACTCAAAGGCCACTTTATTAGGTACACCTTACTAGTACTGTCTTGGACCCGCTTTTGCCTTCAGAGCTGCCTTAATCCTTAATGGCAGAGATTCAACAAGGTACTGGAAATATTCGTCAGAGATTTTGCTTCATATTGACATGAAAGCATCACACAGTTGCTGCAGATTTGTCGGCTGCACATCCATGATGTGAATCTAGCGTTCCACCACGTCCCAAAGGTGCTCTATTGGATTGAGATCTGGTGACTGTGGAGGCCATTTGAGTTCAATGAACTCATTGTCATGTTCAAGGAACCAGTCTGAGATGATTCACAATATATGACATGGTGCGTTATTCTGCTGGAAAAAGCCATCAGAAGATGGGTACACTGTGGTCATAAAGGGATGGACATGGTCAGCAACAATACTCGGGTAGGCTGTGGGGTTGACATGATGCTCAATTGGTACTAATGGGCCCAAAGTGTGCCAAAAAATGTCCCCCACACCATTACACCACCACCACCAGCCTGAACTGTTAATACAAGGCAGGATGGATCCATGCTTTCATGTTGTTGAGGGAACATGTGATTACTGTTGCCTTTCTATCAGCTGCAACCAGTTTGGCCATTCTCCTCTGACCACAGAAAAACCACTCACTGAATATTTTCTCTTTTTCTGATTATTCTCTGTAAACCATAAAGATAGTTTTGCATATAAAATCCCTGTAGATCACCAGCCTGACTGGCACCAACAACCATGCCATAAAAATGTGTCGATTAAATCCCTGTTTTCTTCCCCATTCTGATGCATAGAATTTGATCGTCTTGACCATGTCTACGTGCCTAAATGCATTGAGTTGCTGCCATGTGATTGGCTGATTAGAAATTTGCATTAATGAGCAAAGGTGTTGGAAAGGTGTACCGGTGAGTGTAAGCTTTGCATGTTAAAACAGAAGATCAACAATTTCTTATCTGGACTAGCAATAGAGCTTTTAACAGGAAAAATATGTACAGTACTATACAAAGTTTTGGTCACACTTTATTTTGATGGTCCGTTTGTTGAATTTAAGTTTCATTGTATCTACATGCTAACTAATTCTCATTAGATTATAAGTAGACTGTTAAGTTGGGGTTAGAGTTTGGGTTAGTGTAAGTTGACATGTACTTGCTATGTTTCTTATAGTCAGTTAAATGTCTGTTGAAGGAGCTGTATCAACAGATATTAAGCAGACAGTCTACTAATACTCAAATGGACCATCAAAATAAAGTGTTACCAAAGTTTTGGACTCAGAGGGCAAATACACGAATCACAGATCTTCAATATTTGCATGCTGCAAAACAGGGCTTTTTTAGCTTGTCTTATTTCTTTTTCAACTAAATATTCTTAAATCAAGAAACATTTTCAAGACAAATATAACATTGTTTTGTTTTCAGATATAAGTTAAAATAAAGTGAGTTTTTCCTTAAAACAAGAAAAAAACATGCCAGCGGGCTTAGTAAATTAATCCTGTATTCAGTTTGAAATGTTTATTTTACTTAACTCATTACTTTAGATAGTTAATTTAGCTTGTTTTGATGGACAAAATAACTTAGTTTTGCATAATTATTCCTGAAAACAAAGCAGTAGGTTGTACTTGTCTAGAAAATGCTCTTTTATAGTGACCCCGGGAAACAAAATTTGTCTCATGTTGCTCGGGCATATTTTTGGAAACAGCCTGAAAACCTTTTATGAGTCAAAATTATGGATTTTTTTAGATAAAAAATAATTGTAATATTATGTAAAAAGAGAAGGTCGCTGGTTCAAGCCTCAGCTGGGTCTGCTGGCGTTTCTGTGTGGAGTTTGCATGTTCTTCCATCATTCGGGTGGGTTTCCTCCGGGTGCTCCGGTTTCTCCTACAGTCCAAAGACATGCAGTACAGGTGAATTGGGTAGGCTAAATTGTCTGTAGTGTATGTATGTAAATGGTCACACTTTACAGTAAGGTTCATTAGTTAATGTTAATTAATGCATTTACTAAAATGAACAAACAATGAACAATACATTTACTACTGTATTTATTCAGGTTAGTTAACGTTAGTTAATGAAAATACAGTAGTTCGTTGTTAGTTCATGTTAACTCATGGTGCATTAACTAATGTTAACAAGCATGGATTCGGAAGTTATTTATGCATTAGTAAATGTTCATATAGGATTAATAAATGCTGTACAAGTGTTGTTCATGATTAGTTCATGTTAGTAAATGCATTAACTAATGAACCTTATTGTAAAGTGTTACCGTGTGAATGAGTGTGTATGGATGTTTCCCAGAGATGGGTTGCAGCTGTAAGGGCATCCGCTGCGTAAAACATATGCTGGATAAGTTTAATTATTTTAAGATTAATAAAGGGACTAAGCCAAAAAGAAAATGAATGTAAAAAACACGATATTTTGTAAGTTTCCAATTGTAAATCTCAATTTGGATTAGGAAAGTTCATTGCTAAGAACTTTAAACAACTTTATAGAAACTTTAAAGGTGATTTTCTCAGTATTTATACATGTTTTAACCCTCATATTTGAGATTTTCAATAGTTGTATCTCAGCCAAATATTGACATATCCCAACAAAACCACACATCAACGAAGAGCTTATTTAATAATTTACCATGCGATCTATAAATCTCAATTCATAAAAAATGACACCGGTCGTGTGATTTGCTTTTGTGAAAATATGATCTAATATTTTTATTCGCCTTTTGCAAACAAACTTTTAAGGCTTTCTAACACACAGTATCCAATGATAAACTGACAAAATTCAGTGCTGGTCAACTGGTCTGGATTATAAAGTCTTACTTTGTTGTTATTATTATTATTAAGCTAAAGAATTATATTGCTAATGTGGCTGTTTTTTAAGAGGTCAAAAATAGTTTTTTCTATTTTAGATATATTGCCAAGCTGAAGTCTGTCATCTCTTTCAGTGATTTGGAGAAAGTTGTTCATGCTTTTATCTCTTCTCGTCTGGACAATTGCAACGCATTGTATCTGGGTGTGAGTCAGGCCTCTCTCTCGCGACTGCAGCTAGTCCAGAACGCAGCTGCCAGGCTTTTAACAGGCACAAAAAAACGAGAACACATTACACCTGTACTTGTTTCCCTACACTGGCTGCCAATCCAGTTTAGAATTCAGTACAAAGTTCTGCTGTATGTTTATAAATCCCTCCATGGCCTGGCCCCTGAGTATATTTCTGAGCTAATTATTATGCACCAACCTGTGAGATCTCTTCGCTCTATGGATCGTCTCTATTTGCAAGTTCCTAGATCACGCTTAAAATGTCGAGGTGATAGAGCTTTCTCGGTAGCAGCTCCAGGACAAGCTCTTCCACTCTCTTTAAGAACAGCTCAAACCTTTGAGTCTTTTCAGAGGTCACTGAAAACACACTTATTTTCTTTAGCTTTTAATCATGTGATGTGAGTTTATGTGTTTTGGTTTTATGTATATTTTACATGCGTTTTATGTGTTTTATGTACAGCACTTTGGTAATCATTGTGATTTGTGAAAGTGCTATAGAAATAAAGTGAGTTGAGTTGAGGATAAGCATTTCTTCTGTTTGTAAATGTCTTAGACCAATGGAGAGCAACAAGTAAAGATTGAAGAGCTCCAGGAGAAGCTTGCTAAGGTAAAGTAGGCATTTACTTCATATTGACAAACATATATATGGATTGAGTTGTTCTGGATAATGGCAGATTATTTATGTAATAAAAAAGGTTTGTAATAATGACATTATTGATTTTTTTCCTGAGCTAAACTGAATGTTTCAGCTAGATTGAGTGGAATAATTACACAGTTTTCTTCAATTGAGATGCATTACAGGTTTTATTCTGCGATAACAACCTCCTGAATGTACTTTATCTCTAACAATTTTGATCTTGTTCTGTCAAAATTACAGACCACTTTCACAGTGTAGCTTCTTTCCTCAAGGCGAGCACAGGAGCTATTGTTTTTGTTTCTGTCAGCTTTGCATTTAATTAAAGAATTAATAAACTATCACGCCTAAGAACAATGTTTTGTGTCAAATTTTTATGTTTTGTAGCAATTAGCCATGTAATAAGTGGGATAAAGTACATACAGGGCAGTTGTTTTGGCAGAGTAAACTCTACAGCCTTAGTCTTGTTCTGCTCCTTTCTTTTCTTCCAGGCAGTGAAGGCGAGTACTGAAGCCACTGAACTCCTCCAGAATGTCCGTCAGGCTAAAGAGCGAATGGAGCGAGACCTGGAGCGTCTGCAGACCAAAGAGGACTCGTCCGACAGCCTGCGCAGACGCTTACGAGAGACTGAGGTTACAATTCACTTCGCTTTAGCTTCTTCACACACTTCATTTTACCATGAGATTAACATATTAACTTCATCTTCTTTATTTATGTAGCACATTGAACTGTAAGTTGAATTCAATAGTAACTGGATGCAGCCTTTATGATGCAAGCTGAGACTGCATCACTCAGCGATGCAATGTCAGACACAATGCACTCAAATGGAGCTAGTGACGTCACTGTGACGGGTAGGGTTAGGGGTTGGGTTAGGTGAGCCCATTAAAAAGCATTGGATGCAGCCCAGATTGCACTGCACCAGGTCTGCAGCCAGACCCCTCTCATTGAATTGCCCAAAGTGCTTCATATAACATTCAGAAATGTTTAGTATTTAAATGTCATGGACAACAAAATACAAACATTTACATTAAGTTATTTAGCAGATGCTTTTGTTCAAAGTGTCATACAAATGAGGAGCCATTCAGCGATTCAATAAGAAAAGGCAATAGACACAAGTGCTGATTATGCAGAAGAACCCTTAGTGCTCACAGTGCTCAGAGAATTAAGTGCTAGATTAAGGAGAGATGAGTGTGTGTATGTATTTTTTATGGTGGCTTGAGAAAGGCCAACATACTGTTATACTACATACTGTAAAGTTCTTCATCGTCTTCTGAGACTAAACTCTATATGCATCTCCTCCTAGACCGTTCATACAACCACCACCAAACATATCTTTCCCAACTGATCCGACTTACGGTACCCGGAAAAGTCCCAACATTTGACAACACTTTATGACCTCATAATCTTGCGCCAGACTGTCAAACAGAATTAAGTTTGGGCTCATTTAACTCAGACTATCAATCTGCCAATCACTGATGACCTTTCAACTTACTAGCCACACCTTAGCAACCACTTACGACACCCTAGCAACTATCCCATAGACTTCCATTATTAAAAAAATGCCATTATCTTTACATTGGACATACTAAAAAACATATCAATTTTTTTTTACTAACAATATACTGATCCATACTATGTCAATACATACTCACGACAAACCAACCCATACTGGAAACATGCTAACGACATACCAACCCATACTGGAAACATACTAACGACATACCAACCCATACTGGAAACATACTAACGACATACCAACCCATACTGGAAACATACTAACGACATACAAACCCATACTGGAAACATACTAACGACATATCAACCCATACTGGAAACATACTAACGACATACCAACCCATACTGGAAACATACTAACGACATATCAACCCATACTGGAAACATACTAGCAGACATGCTGATTCATTTTACATTCATGCTGACATGCTAATTCAAAGTGTAACATGCTACCAATATGCTAATTTATGCTAACAACATGCTAATTTATGCTAGAAACATGCTAGCAAAATGTTAATTCATACTAGGACCATGCTTTAAGAATTTATGTTTGCAAGAATTTATGTTAGCAACTGGTTAGCAACAACTCAGAATACCTTAGTAACCCCCTAGCAACACCTTATCAATACTTAGCAATCACCTAGCAGCACCTTAGCAACCACCTAGGAACCACTCAGAACACCCTAGCAACCGCCTAGCAACCTCTCAGAATACCTTGGCAACCACCTAGCACCACTTTAGCGAACACTTTAGCTTGAGCCCCGGCTGGGTCAGTTAGTGTTTCTGTGTGGAGTTTGCATGTTCTCCCCGTGTTGGCGTGGGTTTCCTCCAGGTGTTCCAGTTTCCTCCACAGTTCAAACACATGCACTATAGGGGAATTGAATAAGCTAAGTGGGTGTGTGCAAGAGTGTATGGGTGTTTCCCAGTACTGGGTTGCGGCTGAAAGGGCATCCGCTGCGTAAAGCATGTGCTGGATAAGTCCCCTCCGCTGTGGCTATCCCAGATTAATAAAGGGACCAAGCCGGAAAAACAATTAATGAATGAATGATGTTAACACTTTCAATAAAGTGGTATTTGTTAATGTTAACCATTTACTAACATGGACAAACGCTGAACTATACATTTATTATTGTATTTTTGATGTTGCCAAGTTGTTCTAAGGGGTTGCTAGGCGGTTGCTAGGGTGTTCTGAGTGGCTGCTAGGTGGTTGCTAAGGCATTGCATGTTGGTTGCTAAGGCATTGCCTAGATTTTGCTATTTTTTGTGTTGGTTAAGCATATTTAATGGTAATACAAGTGGCACAGTAGCTCAGTGCTTAGCACTGTCGCCTCACAGCAAGAAGGTCATTGGTTTGAGTCCTGGCTGGGTCAGTTGGCATTTCTGTTCAACCACATGCGCTTTAGATGAATTGAATGCACTAAATTGGCCGTAGTATATGAGTGTGTATACCCAGTACTGGGTTGCAGCTGAAAGGGCATCCGCTGTGTAAAACATACGCTGGAATAGTTGGCGGTTCATTCCACTGTGGTGACCTCTGAAATGGAGAGTAAGCAGAAAGAGAATGAATGAATAATGGTAATACAGTCCATATTAACAATGTATTATCTAATGTTAACAAGCTTGAATTTGGATTTTAGCAAGGCATTAGTAAATCTTGCATTATGATTAATAAATGCTCAACAAATATTGTTTATAATTAGTTCATGTTAGTTCATATGTTAACAATTATTAACTTATGGAACCTTATTGTAAAGTGTGACCGTTTTGTTTTGGACAGTGCGGAATTTGATTGTGTTTCTTTGTTTGGGATTGATCAGGATGGCAAAAAATCCCTGGAGAACCAGGTGAAGAGGCTGGAGATGGTGGAGCGGAGAGAATCCAAACTGAAAGACGACATTCAGACCAAATCGCAGCAGATCCAGCAGATGGCCGACAAAATCATGGTGAGACTGAGACGCGAGCGGGAGCTGAACCCCTGCTGGTTTACACATACTGCATCTAAAACACAAACAAACAGGTAAACACTGGAGTGCTGTTCACTTCAACATGACGTGTCCATCAAATGCGATTGCAGCACTGCAGAAATCCCTACCGGAGATATCACATGTACAGCTGAAGGCAGAATTATTAGCCCCTGTATTTTTTTTTCACTAATTCCTGTTGAACGGAATGAAGATTTTTTTCAACACATTCCTAAAAATATTAGTTTTAATAACTCATTTTTAAAAACTGACTTATTTTTGCCATGATGACAGCACATAATATTTGACTAGATACTGTTCAAGATACAAGTATTCAGCTTAAAGTGGCATTTATAGGCCTAAAGTGCCCCTATTATGGATTTTTGAAAACATAAGGGTCCATCTTTTAGTCCTATGATGAAACTAACAGCATGGGTGAAGGTTAGCTGCATGTAAGCCTTTTAGCACTGGGATTCCCAAACTTTTTTATTCCGGGACCCACCTAGGCAAGAAATTCAATCTCAAGACCCACCATAATATTTTAATATGGAAAAATGGGTAAAAAAAAAAGTATCCATTCAAAGCAGTCAAATGTGGCTGTATGGATTTTGCGATTTGATATGCGCAAAATGAGGCTCAAAGTGCTTTTTGTGGGATGCTGGCTGTAACTGTGATCATTTTTTTGTTGATGAAGATACTCTTCTTTTTTCATACGAGAATATGATCAATCTTTGTTGACATATTCAGAATGTTTTGTTGTCAGGTGTCGTTTAAGTTTTAAGGGTTTCATGAAAAAACTAAATCGCTTTTTGATCGACTACTACAAGCTGGAAAACGTCAGATAAATATGCCAATGCAATTAACGTTATTGCTGAATAGATCTAATATTTACACATTTGCTTGAGGAAGGAATGATGGGGGTAGTTACATTACTATTACTATTTTCCATAACATCTATGCCCTTCCATAACATTAGCTGACGTTAAAACTAACTGATAGCACTATAGCTATTTATTGATTGGCAATCTGTCAATGTTGGGGTGTAAAAAATATGGGACAACAAATATCTTCAAATAATAGAATACACAGCAAACATTAGAAAATATTGACAATAAAATAAAAAGTTTAGCCTATTAAAATCAATGGCCTATCCAGAAATTAAATAAAGCTACAAAATCTATTTCACTTTTGATTGTATTTGCATATTGATTAAAGTTACTAGAGTTATTTAGCGAAGAGCAGCAGATGAATCTCTCATTGTGTTTTGTTTGATAACAGAGGTGTTAATGCTTTAAGGCAAATTGAATAAAACTGGTTAAAAACTAGTGACCCAATTTGTTTTTCACTTAAATTAATATAAAAATGTCAACATGGGCTCATTCTGAAAACATAGCCGTATATACATTCCTGGAGATTGTGAAATATGTAGCCAGAAAAATGTATGGCTGCATTTCGTCTTTAAAATGAACTCTACGAGGTGGTATGGCGGGCGCTGTTCCTTTTCATACTTACCACCTGACCGCTTACCTCCATAAGGACAGCTTTCCCGCTGTTACCAGTTTGTCCAGTGGCTCGCCATGTACGTCAGAGTATTTGAGACCCAGAGTAAAGTTGACTATGACAACAGGGTTCGAGTCTGGCGAAGAACGGTTCCAGAAAGCAGGTAAAACAGAAGCAAAAAAAATAAAAGTAAATAACACGGTGAGAATGTGGTAAAATCTAAAAACGTGGTAAAAATCAGGCTGCCATGAGGGATTGTTCTGGATTGCTTTTCCAAACATTATCGGTTTCGTTTAGGGAAGTGGGTGGGGTTATTGATCTGTCAGTCAGTCAGTCAACATTGGTCTCTGATGGATTTATGTGAAAACAGCAGGTGTGAATGGCACTCGCGAGAGAAATTAGAGATCTGAAAAAGCGTACACAGCAGATTCTGCCGTATTTGCAAACACTGCAAAAAATAAAAATAAAAATGTAGCTCCTGTGAGGTATTTGGCACTCTCCGGAAATGTATATAGGGCTACATAATCAGAATAAGCTTAAGTTGTAAAATGTACTTTGAATGAAAGACATTAATTTCAGTTTCACTTGTTTTTAGGTGAACTGTCCCTTTAATTAAGACCAGTAACACTTATTAGTCACACCAAATATAACCACATACACACACACTTTCTTCTTTCATTGGTTGCTCTTCAACCTGCTTAGCCTGGCAGTAACAGCTTTTTCCTCATTTCCCAGCATGCTCTCTGGTCCTGTCACGGCTCCAATAGTGACAGATTGCAGGAGTGGATCATCTCCGTCTTTGGCCATGATCGTGTGTGTCACAATGATGATGGGTTTTAATGATTTCTGCTTCTTTTTGATGGATTTCTTTGATTTTAGTCATGATTAACATGTGCTGGAAATGAATCGCTTTATGTGGAAATTTGTGTTGTTATGCTTAATCAGAATTGAAACTAATATAAAAATACTTTATTTTAATAAAAATCATCATTTTTCTGAGCTGAAATAAAACAATTATTCATTCATTCATTTTCCTTTTCGGCTTAGTCCCTTTATTAATCCGGGGTCGTCACAGCAGAATGAACCGCCAACTTATCAAGCATATGTTTTACACAACAAATGCCCTTCAAGCTGCAACCCAGCACTGGGAAACATCCATACACACTCATTCACACTCATACACTAGGGACAACTTAGTTTCTTCAATTTTTTTTATAGCGCATGTGTTTGGACTGTGGGGAAACCAAAGCATCCGGAGGAAACCCACGCCAACACGGGGAGAACATGCAAACTCCACACAGAAACGCCAACTGACCCAGTCGGCACTCGAACCAGCGACCTTGCTGTGAGGCGACAGTCACCATGTTGCCACATTAAAATTGCTTTAATAAAATTCCAATACCTTACATGCCTGGATCTAACTGGAAGAAATAAAAAACAACAACTCTATGATTCTTCTTTGGAAAAACATAAAAATAATTTTATTTTAATACACACATTGTTCATTGTCAATATTCACGAGTAAACATTTTAAATTACTTTTACATTTGAGCATAATACACACAGATATTGCTTAAAATCTGGCGACTGTGTCACCAGGTCAATCACCAATAACACAGAATTCTGAATTTAGCACCCACTTGTTTGTGTCACGGTCACCAGCGATCCAGCCTGTGCAAATCGCATACAGCTACAAATTATCCGGTATTCAATTAGTTTTTCCTTGCCTTGTTTTGCTGTGTTAGACCCTTGCTTATATTGTTTATTCCTGTATGCTGACTGTCTTTTAACCTTCCGCCTGTTTATTACCATGACTCTGGATTTGCCTGTGTACATCTGTTTTCCCCTGTGTTGACCGTTGCTGACAATCCTGTTATAAACCTGCGTTCGGATCTGCACTCCATTGTCAGCGTCTCTATTGTGACAGTTTGTTGCCACACTGAATGAAAACCTAAAGCACGCTATGCTAAAATGTGTCTATTTAACCGATGCATATTACACAACGTTATGCTACAGACTTATGGGAAATGTAGTTCAGAGTGCACACATTCCCCCATCACACTCTAATAACCTCAGGTTGTTCAGAAGAGATGTCAACACAGGCTCAAACTGTGCTTAAAAGAGCTTTTCATTCAATTAAAATGTGCTAATCTCAATACAAACACGTTTAATTTTCCTTGGCAGCAAATTAACTTTCTCTTTACATCTTTTAAGTACATTTTTGAAGAAACATCATACTCTAGATGAGGCAATTCAATGATAACAAAGCTGACTCTTCTGACAGTAATGTTGTCTTCTGTCGTCTGTTCTCAGGAGCTTGAAGAAAATTTGCGGGACTCGCAGGCGATGGCGCAGCGCATGGAAACACAGCTGGAGCAGAAGGAAAAGCTTTTTGAAGACAAGATCAAGGTCGGGCCAAACAAACACACACACACACACATGCACACACACTTGTGATCAAGACATCAGAGCTTCACCTCCATCACTGAGTTTCCATATACTCAGCTTTAGTGCTCAGTAACAGTTTAATAGCAGCTGAATGAAGGATTCTGACGCGTGCTCATCTTTTTTTCTGGGTTAAGTCTTTAAACTAAAGGCACAATATGTAAGATTTTTTCATTAAAATATCATAAAAATCACTAGAACATTCATTCATTCATTCATTCATTCATCCTTCGGCTTGGTCCCTTATTTATTAGGGGTCGCCACAGCGGAATGAACCGCCAACTATTCCAGCATACTTTTACACAGCGGATGTCCTTGCCGCAACCCAGTACTGGGAAACACCCACACACACTCAATCTCACCCACTCATACACTATGTCCAATTTATTTTATCCAATTCACCCATAGCGCATGTGTTTGGAGGAAACCGGAGCACCCAGAGGAAACCCACCCCAACACAGGGAGAACATGCCAACAGAAACGCCAACTGACCCAGCCGCAACTCGAACTAACAGCCTTTTTGCTGTGATGCCACAGTGCTAACCACTGTGCCATTGTACAATTAAGCAGTGTAAGATAATAATAGTTAAAAACAAATCAAAATTTTATTACTATGAATTAAATAAGTAAGAAGGTCGCTGAGTCGCAGGTTCGAGCCTTGGCTCAGTTGGCATTTCTGTGTGGAGTTTGCATGTTCTCCTGGTGTTCGCGTGGCTTTCCTCCGGGGGCTCCGGTTTCCCCCACAGTCCGAAGACATGCGATACAGGTGAATTGGGTAGGCTAAATTGTCCGTAGTGTATGAGTGTGTGTGTGAATGTGTGTGTGGATGTTTCCCAGAGATGGGTTGTGGCTGGAAGGGCATCCGCTGCATAAAAACTTGCTTGATAAGTTGGCGGTTCATTCCGCTGTGGCGAGCCTTAATTGATAAAGGGACTAAGCTGACAAGAAAATGAATGAAAGAATGAATGAATTAAATAAATTATAGGGAAGGAGAGTGCATCTATTAAATGTAAACATTGCCACTTTTTAAAGAAATTAGCTTTCCCAGAACATCAAACCCTTTCTGCTGTGTTCTCATCAGACGCAGAAGAAGCGTCAAGCGCGAGTGATTTACATGTTAAGTCAATGCAAAGACACGAATAGACATCCTGCGGTTGATTATGACGTAGCACCTGTTGTTGGTGTCCAGGGGGAAAATCCTCTTGCCGACACAGACAACAGTTCATCAAACTGGGCTCTGCTCACCTTTGAAAGCTTCCATCATCCAGGCATAGTTTCTGGAGAAATTGATGAACTCACAGAGCTTGCTGCACCTCTGAAAGGATCTAGTTGACTCAGACTCACCTCCAAACAAATCGGCGCTGTTTTTTAGCCTTCATAAAGCACGTAAACACAGCTACTCTCTCAATAAAATCAATGTTAGCCATCAAGCAAAGAAGCTAGCCATTTAGCAAATAAACTAGAGTCACCGGGCAGACAGAAGTCTTGCCCATCATGTGAAATCGCATCTGTTGTGAAGGGAATTTGACACGCAAATGAAGCGGATTTGACGCGTGAATGAAGCGAGTAAACTCAAAATGTTCATGCGTCTATTTACGCACGAATAGCGCGATTTATCCATGTTTGCTGCGTCTGGTGTGAACATAGAATTCCAACTTTAGAAATTACATGGTATCCACAAGCCATCACTGTTCAGCAAGTGAATGCTCCAGTGTTCGTGTGTCTGTGTTTACACTTGGTGTACAGTGATAAAGGTTGGTAAACCGATGCCTATCACAGTCATATCTGTTAAGCATGTAAACACAATAACCACCAAATAACCAACCAATCAGCTGTGTTTAAAAACACATTCAACACGCTCAAATGACAGCATGAAACTTATGTTTTTAATATTTCAGGACCCATTGGTACCTAAGTTAATACTTTTGACAACCCTTTTTCAGAGCCACCATAGAAACAAAAGTTAGAATCCAGAATTCTATTCACTTGCAGCACAGAACACTTTATGACAAACAAAGTGCTGAATATAAAGACATTCGGTGTGAGAGCCACTGCTGTAGACTACTGTATGCTGGTTTCAATGCCTGGCACGCACCTTTCCCATGCTGCTGATTGTTGAGTGTGTATGTATGCGCATTTGACCTTTGAAGTAGCCTACTGCCAGTATCTGTTTAATATTCATTTGCTAAAATTTGTATTTGTGTTATGTATGACAAGCAAAGTATTGAAATGCCACTGACTTCCTGAAATAAATGTTGAATTTCAGGATAATTCAATTTAATTCAATTCATCTTTATTTCTCTAGCGCTTTTACAATGTAGATTGTCAAAGCAGCTTCACATAGAAGATCATAGCACATTAAAACAGTGTCAGTCCAGTTTTCAGTGTTGAAGTTCAGTTTAGTTCTGTTCAGTTCGGTTTAATATTCACTGCTGAGAGTTCAAACACTGAAGAGCAAATCCATCGATGTGCAGCTCCACAGTTCCCGAAGCATGCAAGCCAGTGGCGACAGCGGAGAGGAAACAACTTCACCAATTGGCGAAGGTGAAAAATAAAAAAAATCCTCGAGAGAAACCAGGCTCAGTTGGGCATGACCATTCTCCTCTGGGCAAACGTCTTGTGCAGAGCTGCAGTCTAGGCGCGGGAGGCTGGAGGGCGATGGACGTCTATCGTGGAGATGATAATCCCACACAGCTCATTCCTCTTCGTGCAATTGATTAAATGGACACAATACTTTCTCTTTTTTTCTTTTGGTAAGAAAGTCTATTCAAACAGTCGTGCTTTGTATCCCATGAATTTTTTTGTGGGTTTATTTTTTGCAGCATATTAATTAATATGCATCAGACTCAGTATGCAGAATTACTAACAGTATGTAATGCTTATGGCGACGCAGTGAGTATCACGTTCGTCTCACAGCAAGAAGGTCGCTGGTTCGATCCTCGGCTCAGTTGGCGTTTCTGTGTGGAGTTTGCATGTTCTCCCTGCGTTCGCGTGGGTTTCCTCCGGGTGCTCCGGTTTCCCCCACAGTCCAAAGACATGCGGTACAGGTGAATTGGGTAGGCTAAATTGTCCGTAGTGTGTGTGTGGATGTGTTTGTGGATGTTTCCCAGAGATGGGTTGCAGCTGGAAGGGCATCCGCTGCGTAAAAACTTGCTGGATAAGTTGGATAAGTTCATTCCGCTGTGGCGACCCCGGATTAATAAAGGGACTAAGCCGACAAGAAAATGAATGAATGAATGTAATGCTTATGTATGCTATTAACAATATGTAAAATACATTTTTTGTTACAATTTCATACTGCTATGATGAAAATACGTATTGAATACTTTAGCTCATCCATCAACATGATTTCCCGTAGGATATAATGACCACAACCCCCTTGATTCCACACTCAGTCTGTCACATTACGGGAAAGGGAAGGACGAGGATTCAATCGCAGTAACTCAAAATAGGTTTATTAATAATAAAAATAAAACCAAAAGACAACAAAAATGACCCAACAAAAACAACAAGAAACTTAACAACGAGGGGGAAAGCCTTAACAATACAAATACACTTGACTAGGCAGGATGGCAGGATTTACGGCTAGAAGGCAGGACAGGACAAGGCAATAAATGACGACAAACTGGCACAGAACAGCAGACAAGAGGAGACTATAAGCAGAAATAATTAACAAACAAAGAGACAGAATAAACTAATAATGGGTTATCAAGGAGAGACCAAACAATAGATGGGAGAACACATGATACAAAGAAACAACACAAGCCATGTGCTCACATTAAATGAGACTTAAAAACGCAGCCAATGAGAGGACTCATTAACCGTGTGTTCACCTGAATATGACATTAAAGCATGCAGCGCATGTAAACATGAACCCACGTGCTAAACACAACATTAACAGAAGACTGAACATAAGACATGAGTACACAACAAATATAAACACTCACTGTGCACTCACACACACAGTATGTTCCGATCCCATCGCCAACCGAAACCAACTAGACTGGAGCGCTGAGAACAGAAACACTATGCCATGAACAAAACAACAACACCAGGATGAGAGTGCATATCCTGAGCACGCCCGGACCACATGCACTCGCATCAAGTGGCCGAGCACGGCCAAGACGGCACTCCATAAAAAGGAACACAATGTCAGAAAATGAATGATGGAACCGAGAAAACTCGAGCTGAGCACAACATACAAGGCATGACAGGACTAGTGTCTGGACTGAAAACCAAAACAAGAATTAACAAGATCGAAGTGGCAGAGTCCTGACACAGTCACGCAGTCATCAACTTACACTTTTGGTTGTTGTGAATACAAACGCCCTCTAATGGCCAAAATGACATTCTGTGCCTTTTATTGACTCACTCTAAAAGTAATTTCTGTTTGTTTGTTGAGCCTAATAACTCTGCTTATGTGTTTTATAGGTTTTAGAAACTCAAATGAAGGCTGATTTGGCTGAGAAGGATTTGCTGGAGTCCAAACAGAGCACTTTTGAAGAGGAGTCTCGCGAACGGGGAAAAGTGATCAGCGACCAGGCAGCGGTAACAGATATTCTGTGCTTTCTGAGAGATTGTGTTGATGTTGGAGTATGAAAAAGTCCTAAAAACAGTCAAAGTAGTTATAAAAGTGGCTATTCTCTATAACGGTTGGATTTGTTTTTGAAATGTAAGTCACATTATTCGTAAACGTATGCAAATGTTGAGTAACTGAGGCACAAGATGTAAAGTGAAAGATGTAAAGGCTCCACCCTTATTGAGGTTTGAGTTCTACTTAAGGCCCACTCTGTTGCTATGTATGGCTCACCTGTGCTCTCAGATATAATTCATGCTGTATACGCTTGTGTAAAATTAATGCATCTCAATATAAACTTGCTTTATAACAGGAGTGCCCAAACTCGATCCTGGAGGGATCCTGAAGTTTAGTTCCAACCCCAATCAGACACACCTGGGCTATCTAATCAAGCTCTCACTAGGCTTTCTAGAAACATCCGTGCAGGTGTGTTGAGGTTGGAAATAAAATCTCCAGGACCGAGGCTGGACATCCCTGCATTATAACATCAATGTATAATATAATATAATATAATATAATATAATATAATATAATATAATATAATATAATGTAATGTAATGTAATGTAATGTAATATAATATAATATAATATAATATAATATAATATAATATAATATAATATAATACAATATAATATAATATTGTATAATATAGTATAATATAATATAATTTTATATAATATAATATAATATAATTTTATATAATAATATAATATAATATAATATAATATAATATAATATAATATAATATAATATAATATAATATAATATACAGTGTAAGATATTGTTACTGTGAAATAATCCTTCTAATACCATGAAATATAATTTTAGTCATTCCGCCCAACCCTTGTCCTTAGCAAAACCAGTGTTAACCAGCTTGACTAGCAAAGAAAATGGGTCTTTTTTTATTTGGTCAAGGAATGATATGAAGTAAATTACTAAATTACAAGTATCAATGACTCTGTTTCATGTAGACGATCAATGCCATGGAGTCAAAGATGACCAGTCTGGAGCAGAGGATCGCTGAGCTGTCCGAAGCCAACAAACTGGCAGCAAACAGCAGCATTTACACACAGAAGAACATGTGAGTTCACATACAGCTAAAGACTCAATTATTGATGATAATTATTCAGTTATTATGATTTTTTTCCCAACACATTTTAACCATAGTAGTTTCATAACTAATTTATATTAACTAACTTGGATAACATTAAAATAAAAATACACATATAAAGATAAAAATGTCATTGCTCTGTTAATCATCACTTGGGAAATGATTGAAAAACAATTAACATTTCACAGGAGAGATAATAGTTTTGTCTTTACCTGGATACACAGATTAGATCTGTTTCAGTAATGGATGACAGTCAACTCTAGATGTTATCTGTAAACAGCCTGCAATTACATCAGCACATTATATTGCATGACTAAAGTGCTGTTTATTTAGATTATTTTTAGTTGCATGTTTAATTATTGATTGGCCCTTGCGGTTGCCTGTTATATAAAAGCAGTCAGCCATTCTGATTCATGTTGTGCCACATCGTTTGGTAAAGTACACAGAAAAACACATTTGTGTTTTATTTTCGCTAGTTTTAAATCATTTAAAGTATAGGAAATTTTAATAGGTTAATGTATTCTTTTATTTATTTTTATAAATACAAGTGTTTAATTCCAGAGATGGGTTGCAGCTGAAAGGGCATCCGCTGCTTAAAAACGTGCTGGATAAGTTGGCGGTTCATTCCACTGTGGCGACCCCAGATTATTAAAGGGACTAAGCTGAAAAGAAAACGATTGAATGAATGAACAAGTGTTGTTTAATTAGAAAATGTTTATCTTGTATGATGAAGGGACATGATTTCCCCGATCATGCCCTCCCAATCATCCCCATCCATTGAATTGGCTGTATCCCTGTCTCTCCACTCCACCAATAGCTGTTGTGTGGTGAGCACACGGGCACTATTGTCCTGTGGCACACGATAAATGCGCTCTGTGAATATACATTACATTAGTGGTTCCCAAACTTTTATTGCCTAAGACCCCCTTTTTCCCCAGAAAATATTGTAAGACCCCCCTCCACATGTAATGATTATTGCTCATAAGTTTGCAGCAATGATTACAAAAAATGTTGTTTTAAAACCAATGGTGTGTTTATTACTATATCTAGAAATGCTTATGCACAAATAATAGCCTAATGTTTTCCAGAGATGGGTTACAGCTGTGTAAAACTGGACAAGTTGGCGGTTCATTCCGCTGTGGCGACCCAGGATTAATAAAGGGACTAAGCCGACAAGAAAATAAGTGAATTAATGAATGAATAAAAGCCTAATGTAAAATATAAAGTAAAACATCAGTAGGTGATTTGTAACTGAAAAACGTAAGCCTTTGGCCTTCAAATTGACCCTATTTGAAATCCAATAACAAAAAAAATTGTATTCACACAGGTTTATAAGGGAAAAAAATAATATAGGCTATTACAATGTAAAAATACTTGCAATGTTATTTGTTATGCTCTATCAAGGGATTGCTGTGAGGATTGCTGCGAGATGAATCAGTGAGACTTTGTTGACAAATGGGTTGCGGATCCATGCCTTGGCACTACATAGGTCTGGGCTGGGGCCTTTTCCCCTTTGCAAAGAAACTTTCCAAAGACTTACTTTTACTTTCTTACTTATTTTACGGCTTGTGGGTTAAATTTGGGCGCTAAAGTGACCAAGATATCAGCAAGAGAATACATTTTTCAAAATTAAAGACAAAAAAGATTGTTCAAACGCGGATAATAATAAAACGGAAATAATTAATGATTTCTTGTGTGGCCCGGTACCAATTGATCCATGGACCAATGGTTGAGGACCACTGAGCTAGGGGATAAAATGAACTAAGGCAACATGATCATTCTCCTAATTGTCCACTGCTAAGATTTTTTTTTAATTATGACGTGACCCCCCCACAAAGCTTGCTGAGGCCCGCTTGTGAGCCGCGACCCACCTCTTGGGAACCGCTGCATTAAATCATATAAGCTATTATTAATACATCACATGGAGGCTGTAAAAAGAAGCTTTTTTGATGTATACTTTGTTAGGATTGGATTATATTTGGCCAGGATACAACTTTTTAAAAATCTGGAATCTGGGGGGTTAAAAAATAAATCAAAATACTAAGAAAGTCACTTTTAAGGTCACCTCTAAAGTCACGTCAAGTTGACATATATAATGTACAATAGATGCTGCATATTAATGTTATGCTTCGTATTCTGCTTCATGTCGTTCACATGAATGAGCCATGGATATTATATTGTGTTTGTTGACTGTAAAGGTTAATTTCAGGCTAATGTGCCATGAAGGCGGATATTCAGGGTTATGCACAAAGCTAATGAATGATGATCTGAAATATTTGCATTATGCATAACAGATTCATTTTGTGCCTGCTAAAAGAGAAAACCTTGATTATATTTTCTGATGTTTTGATTTAAATATGTTGGGATTTTTCTAAGATAGTAATTGCTGAGTGTGAAATAATTATGACACTAAAACCAAATTTAGATGTAGGTCTTAAACATTTATTCAATGAATCATTCGTTTAACTCATTAGTTTAGAATGACGATTCATTTGGCTTATTACTTTCATTTATTCATTTTCTTTTCGGCTTAGTCCCTTTATTAATTTGAGGTCGCCACAGCAGAATGAACCACCAACTTATCCAGCACGTTTTTACGAAGCGGATACCCTTTCAGCCGCAACCCATCTCTGGGAAACAGCCACACACACTCATACACTACACACAATTTAGCCTACCTAATTCACCTGTACCGCATGTCTTTGGACTTGTGAGGGAAACTGGAACACCCGGAGGAAACCCACGCTAACGCAGGGAGAACATGCAAACTCCGCACAGAAACGCCAACTGAGCCAAATCTCGAACCAGTAACCTTGCTGTGAAGCAACAGCACTACCTACTGCGCCACTGCATCACCTCATTTGTGTTTAGAATAGCCTTATTATTTGTATTTATGTATTATATATATTTATAAATATATATTTTTTGCTTCAATTTATTAATTTGTTTTTTTTTAATTTAATAATAATAACAATAACAATGAAGAATCATTAATAATCATTAATAATAATAACAATAATAATAATAATAATAATAATAACAACAGTAATAACATTAATAGTAATAATAATAATAATTATAAAATGATAATAATAATAATAAATGATAATAACAACAGTAATAACAATAATAATAATATTAATAATATTAATAACAATAATAACATTATTAATAAAAATATAATAACAGTTATAACATTAATAAAAATAATAATGCTACTACTACTACTACTACTACTAATAATAATAGCAGTAATAACTATAATAAAAATGATAACAATAACAGTAATAACATAAATAATAATAATAATAATAATAATAATAATAATTATTATTATTATTAGTATTATTATTATTATTATTATTATTGTTGTTGTTATTATAAATTAATAATAATACTACCAAATTTGTGTATAATAAAAATAGTAATTAATTACAGTGAAACAATTAATTAAATAAAGCATACAAAAATAATAGGCGTCATGGTGGCACAGTGGGTAACACGATTGCCTCACAGCAAGAAGGTTGCTGATTTGAGCCCCGGCTGGGTCAGTTGACATTTCTGTTTGGAGTTTGCATGTTCTCCCCGTGTTGGCGTGAGTTTCCTCCGAGTGCTCCGGTTTTCCCAAAAGTCCAAAGACATGTGCTACAGGTGAATTGGGTAAGCTAAAATTGACTGTTGTGTATGTGTGTGAATGAGTGTGCATGGTTGTTTCCCAGTAATGGTTTGGAGCTGAAAGATGTTCCGCTGCGTAAAGTATATGCTGGATAAGTTGACCCCTAATTAATATAGGGACTAAGCTGAAAAGAAAATGAATGAATGAATTAAATAAAATATTACGCTTACAAATTTTATACAAAAGTTTCTTTGACATGCAACATACAATAATAATATTACTGTACAGTTATGATTTTACTGTACATGGTATATATCGTACATCCGTATTGTTGTTTTAGATGCTTCAGTGGAAGAATTTTAGCGGTTAAACAGCTCTTCTAGTGTATGAAAAGTCAAATGCAGACTGATTTGACTGTAAATTAATTGTATAAATTCAGTTAAACCGTCTCACTGTTCAACGTTGATCTGCAGAGTTGATGATTGGTCGAATAGCACTGATCCAGAATATTCACTAAAGGCAGATATAGAGTAGATTAGCTGGTTAACCAAGCTTTGACTGATTCACAACTTTACAATTTTCTACAGAGTTTTCTTTTCAATCTCTTGTTTCATGTTTAGGAAAGCCCAGGAGGAGATGATTTCTGAACTCAGACAGCAGAAGTTTTATTTGGAGTCTCAGGCTGGAAAACTGGAGGCGCAGAATGCAAAGCTGGAGGAGCATCTGGAGAAACTCACCCAACAAGAGCAGACAAACAAGAGCCGAGTGCTGGAGCTGGAAGCCAGGCTGCGAGAGGTGACTATGATCACATTATGCTGAATAATGAACCATATTTCACCCTACTGTGCACACAGAACAATAAGGTTTCATTAGTCTATGTACTCACTAACTAAACTAAGTATGAACAATACTCACCGTTCAACATTTGAAGAGTTCAGATGCAAAAACCTCTGAAAAAGAGCCTGAAATTTCCACAGAACTTTATTTTTCTCAGACTCCTGTGTTTATTTTGAGTGATTTCATTTTAACCAAATTGTAGACAGCACATTTTAGCTCTTAAGTGGCTATTTAAAATACTTTATATGTTTTATATTTTGTTACAGACATACAGTGTCATGCTGCAACTGTTTTACAGCATATGAAATGTCCCAAACCCTATTTTTAACTGTTCAAAATGGGCAAAGAAAATTTGTTTTTACTCTCTAATTGTCAGAACAATTTTTATGTTATACAGGCATTAAAAAACATTCAGGAAAAAGTGTTTCATGTAAATTGGGACCACGAGTGCACATGTACATGGACATAATTTTTCTTTAAAAGTACATCATATCAAAAGATGTTTTTTATTCTAATTAGGTTTCAATGACCCCAAATAGCAAAGAGAAATAAAAAATTACCTGTAAAAAAAAACTTGTGTCACGGTTCGGGAAGGATGAGAGAGCGAGGACTCAAATGCAAAACACAGGATTTATTATTAATTAAAATAAAACAAAAAGAACAACAAAAACCACCCCGAGGGGGAAAAACATAACTATCAAACAACAGACAAACAAACTTGGCTGGGCTGGGCTGGCAAGACACGACTGGAGCAGGAACACAGGGGTAGTATAGACGACGAACTGGCACAGGACAGAAGACATGAGGGGATTATAAAGCAGAAGTAAATTCACACAAACAGGTGAACATGAGAAACTAATAATGAGTTAACAAGGAGGGTGGGACTAGACAATAGACGGGAGAGCGCATGACACAGACAACACAAGCCATGCGCTCACATAAAACAAGACAAGAACACGCAGCCAATGAGAGAACTCATTAACCACGCGTTCATGACAACACAAGCACGCGGTGCATGTAAACATACACCACATGCTAAACACAACACCAACAGAAGACGCAAGACACGCAAGACACGAGTACACGATGCATGAAAGCACTCACCGTGCACTCACACACGCAGCGTGCATGTTTCATCCCTGTGCCGACCAAAACAGAAACCAACAGGACAGAGACGCTGGGAATGAAACACCACGCTGCAGACAGACGAAAACACAAACACGAGTACAAGAGCTCGCTCGTCTGAGGCACGCAGAGCGTGCACACTCTGCGTACACCCACGATGCACACAGAGACAAACAAAGACAGAAACAAATGCTCGACCCAAGAAAACTCGAGCCGAGCACAACAGGACAGGACTAGACATGACTAGTGTCCGGACTCTGCCACCAAAACAAGAATTTACATGACAAGAGTGGCAGAACCCTGACACCTTGTGCCTTAAGAGGATAAAGGGTAACACTTTATAATAACTACACACTATAAATAATTTATTAAGCATTAGCAAATAGTGAATTCCTTGTCTGTTAAGCATTAACTCTACATTAATTAGTGTCAGTGAGCACTTTATAACTGCAGCTACAAATGCTGTATTCTTGACTTACAGCCACATGTATAATGCGCTTAATAATTGTATTTTCAAACTTTGTTAATGATTTATTTTTCATTACTAAATTAAGTATCGCATTATTTACAAACATTTGTATTTAAGAGTAGTTGAAGGTTTTTAGGACCATTCAGAATGAGTCAGTAAATGATTAATAAACTAATGAAATCAACGTTTATATGTCTTATTATTCAGGCATATATTAATGGTAACTATATATGTTAATAAATGTTTTATTAACTCAACTTCATCCAGTTTTGTGGGTCCTAATCTAAAGTGAGGACTATTCATGCTTTATAGATCCCTTATAAATGACAAATAAAAGCTCCGTTAAACTCTAAACAGGAAAAATAGACATTATTCATTCCTATTCATTTAAAGATACACAAATGAAACTGCTCTTCAATTGAAAAATAATTATTTAAACCTTATCTAAAATAAAATCACTGTAGAGTTTAAAATTTTTTATATTATATAAATCTTATCTTATTATAATCTTATTATAATGTTAAATTATTATATTGTTGTTGTTTTATCCAGTTGGATGTCATATTTTGACACTCCTGTTATTTTGCGATGTTTAAACTTTACATTAGTTTTACTTTTTAGATAAGATTGCAAAGATTATTGTTCATTTGATATTGAGCCTTTATTTGTCATTTATAAGGCATTTATAAAGCATGAGTAGTCCTCACTTTAGATCAGGCCACAAAACTGCATGAAGTTGAGTCAATAAAGCATTTATTAACATAATAGTTACCTATTAATATATGCCTGAATTATAAGATATATAAATGTTGATTTTAATAATGTATTAATCATTTACTAACTCATTCTGAATTATCCAAAAAACCCTCAACTACTCTTAAATACAACTGGTTTGTAAATAATTCAATACTTAATTTATTGATGAAAAATAAATCATTAACTAAGTATGAAAATACATTTATTAAGCACATTATATAGGTGCTATTAAGTCAAGAATACAGCATTTGTAGCTGCAGTTATAAACTGCTCACTAACGTGTATTAATGTAGAGTTATTGCTTAACAGATAATGAATTCACTAGTTACTAATGCTTAGTAAATGATTCATAACGTGTAGTTATTATAAAGTGTTACTGGTTAAAGAACATGAAAATAATATATTCTTTGCCATTAAATTTAAATTACTGAACGTACCAACAGGAAACTGATTAAAATGTTAAAATTTTAGGAAAATTTCAGGCCGTACTCACACTAGGTACAGTTGCCTCGAACTGGGCCAAAGCATGCTTGTCCCCCCTCCCGTCTCCCCCGACGGCCCGCACTCACACCACAATCGGGCCTCTGCACGCTTACGTCATCGCTGCTGCGCTGTTCAGTGAGAAGCGCTCTCACTCAGCAGCACAGTGGAGATTTCTCAGTGACATGCAGTCAAATATTTCGCCAAACAGTCCTTAGGGATGCGGTGACACGCAGTCAGATATTTCGACAAGCAGATCCGCCACTTTTGGCGCTCATAAACAATCATAAAGCTCTAGTGCTGCAGGAATGAGGAGGTCTGCTGAAGGTGCAGCTGTCGTGAAGTGAGGAGTTCTCGTCTTTATTAAACTGCGGCAGTTTGCGTTCACTGAACAGTAAGAATGATTAATAAATCCATATGAAACAGTCCCGTAAATGTCACGTCTCGCTTTCAGTTTCGGGCTTTGGCGCGTTTTGCGCTCACACTACAAGTGTACTGCGTGAGCTCAGGCCCACCTCTTCCAACCGGGCCAGGGCTGGCCAAGTGAACCATGCTTGAGCCCGATTCAGCGCACTCACACTTCTCAAACGATCCAGGAAACGAGCCTGGGCACGGTACGGATGGTATAGTGTGAGTAGGCCCTCAGTCTGCGTTTAGAGGGTTTTACATCTGAACTCTTCATTTACTAAAGCCTTATTAAAATCCAAATCCATGCTTGTAACATTTAGTTTAAGAGTTCACACAGATGATTGATTATAAGCGTGTTTGGCATGCTGTCCCGGGAGAGAGCCCTGAGCTCATAAAATCCTCGAGCCCGGGGCTCCCTACCTTTGCAGGGCGAGAGGGGAGTTTGAGTTTAGGTAAATCTCGAGAACACCCCCACTATTTGAAGCTAGTGTGCAATTATGGATTGTTATGACGATAACTACTTACAAGGAGCACATCTGTGGTGTCGATTTGGATAAGTCGATTAACTTAATTATATGTTTTTGGACGGTGGGGGGAAACAGGGGGACCCGGAGGAAACCCATGCGAGCACAGGGAAAACATGTAAACTCCGCACAGAAACATCGATTGGACTGTTAAGGGCTAGAACCAATGGTGTTGGGGCAACAGTGCTAACCACGGGACTTCTGTGCCACCCATCTAGGAAAGGAGGGGGAGTAGGGGAGGAACGGGGGGGATTCTTCAAAACGAAGATGACTGTTATATGGAACTTAGGTTATATATGGAGACAAAGTCATCTGATTGGTGAATCATAAATTTAATAATGAGGGACCTGCTGTGAGCAATCATAAGCACGTGATCCTCTTGAAATTAGTTTATTAATAAATTTCGCTTAATGCACAATGAGTTAGCACGAACTAACAATCAACAATTTTCTGACTGTTGATTCGGGAAAAGATGCACTTCTGGTTTTCCTAAATTTGACTGCAGCATTTGACAAAATATGGTTGATGTCAGAATTATTTGCCCCCCTGTTTATTTTTTTTTCCCAATTTCTGTTTAAAGGAGAGAAGATTGTTTCAGCACATTTCAAACCATAATAGTTTTAATAACTCATTTCTGATAACTGATTTATGTTATTTTTGCAATGATGGCAGTAAATAATATTTGACCAGATATTTTTCAAGACACTTCTACACAGCTTAAAGTGACATTAAAAGGCTGAACTAGGGTAATTAGGTTAACCATGCAGGTTAGGGTAATTAGGCAAGTTACTGTATAATGATGGTTTGTTCTGTAGACTACTGAAAAACATATAGCTTAAGGGGGCTAATAATTTTGACCTTAAAATGGGTTTTAAAAAACTAAAAACTGTTTTTATCCTAGCCGAAATAAAACAAATAAGACTTTCTCCAGAAGAAAAAATATTATCAGACCTAGTGTAAACATTTCCTTGCTCTGTTAAACATAATTTGGGAAATATTTAAAGAGGAAAAAAATGCAAAGACGAGCTAATAATTCTTACTTCAACTGTATATAATGATATTTTGATTGAGCGCTTAAGATTGTGTGCTGGGATTTAAGAAAACGTTTGGAAATGGTTTAGTTCTTATCTTTTAGGGTGAATGTTTTCTATTGAATGAGGAAATTTTTCATCCTCTTTTGCCCGTATGGAGTGTGGTGTTCCCCAAGTATCAATTTTGGGACCAGCTCTTTTTTCCAACATGCTTTCCTTGGCTGCTATCCGTAAGAAACATAATGTAAGCTATCTTCTTTACGCTGATGATACTCAGCTTTGTATACCCACAAAATTGGGAGAAAACTCAGTATTACAGTCCTTTTTTTACCAGTTTAAACGAGTTTAAGGAATGGTTGGTGGGTTATTTTTTACACTTGAATGTATCAAAAACTAAAGTGCTATTGCTTCCGAGTTTGAATATACAATTAATCAACTATTCATTTAAACCTAAGGTCCACCATCTCACAAAGATACTTGAAGTTATTTTTGACACCGAGTTAGAGTTTGACAAGCAAAATAATTTGGCTATCAAAAGTGGTTTCTATTAATTACAGAGCTGAAGCCTTTTCTCTCTTTTAAGGAGTTGGAAACCATAAAATTATTATAATATATTATAAATTATATTATAAACTATTATAATATTTTTAAGAATAAAATATTCAGTGTTCTTTGAAAGAGTGTACTTGCACTATGCTGTTTTTATACTGTCATTCTGGCATTATAGTGGCATAAAAGGATATTAAAATGACAATAATATTGTTTACTGCAATGCATTTTGGTGCTATATATCATTATGGAATATGGTGAAAGGCCTAACCCTAGTCCTGTGCTGCTCCACAGATCGGCCTAGAGCATGAGGAACAGAAGCTGGAGATCAAGCGTCAGGTGTCGGAGCTCACGTTGTCTCTGCAGGAGAGAGAAGCTCAGATCAGCAGCCTGCAAGCGGCACGCCACGCTCTCGACAGCCAACTACAGCAGGCCAAAACTGAGCTGGAGGAGACCACCGCCGAGGCCGAAGAGGAGATCACCGTCCTGAGGGTGAGGAGCTTTCACTGACAGCATTCAATCATTAATTTACATTCATTTCCACAGAAGAATGAATTGGCGTATGTTTTACACAGCAGATGCCCTTCTAGCCGCAATGCAGTGCTGGGAAACACCCATACACTCTCACAGTCACACACACTCATACACTATGGAAAATTTAGTTTATTCAAGACAGCGCATTTGTTTGGACTGTGGGGGAAACCGGAGCATCCGGAGGAAACCCAAGCCAACACAGGGAGAACATGCAAACTCCACACAGAAATGCCAAATAGCTCAGCTGGAACTCGAACCAGCAACCTTCTTGAATTTAGGCAACAGTGCTAACCACTCAGCCACCGTGACAAACAGCAGTCAATCACAACAGGCCATTGTTTCAAAGGGGTTCAATTATGTTGTTTACACTTTCAGCTTCCTTATACAATTGATCGTTTTTTTGTGGGACTTCATGCCCCCCTGGCAGGTAACTCTTTTGACCACCAAGTTACATATTGATTTATCTTTTTTTACAGTGCTGCCAATTTTTTTAATGAAAAGGTGCTGAGCTATGATCAAAAAGTCACTAAGTAAAGTTTATTTATAAACTAATTTCGAGAGGATCACGTGCTTATGATTGACTACAGCCGATCCTGCATTATCTAATACATGATCCTACAATCAGATGATTCCTAAGGCCCCGTTTACACTAGTGCGTTTTAGTTTTAAAACGGCGTTTTAGAATGAAAACGATCCGCGTCCACACTTGCGTTTTACCCAGCGTTTCTGAACTGGTCTCCGTCCACACCAAAACACTGAAAACGCACATCACTTGACCACACACACACTCTCGGGCAAGCGCTGCAGCATTTCTACCCCGATGAGAGCTCTGCTAGTCGGACTGCTCATCAAGCATCTCCCGCTGGATCTAATCTCACTATATTTGCTAAATGTGATATTTAATTCATCTTGTTGTCTTTATTTAACGACATATTCCCTGACTTTGGTCATTGGAGTCTATTACTTGTTCACAGGTAACGTGTTTTGGTTAAGCGCAAAGATAAGTTAATGATTAATCCATGTACATTGACTGATCGCTAGCCTTTATTTCCTACAATGTATAAACTTATTGTATGTTATACTTTTATAATGGCCATTATCAATTATTGAAACTGATATTCAACAAAAGAGAGGGTGCGTTTCGTATTTTTACTGAAATTGAAAGGAGGCAGTTGTTATCGGCTCCGTTTTGTTATAAATATCCACACAGTGAAGATGACGCTCATGCAGCACGACGCCTCAACATTTCTGCTGTCTGTTAAGTTGCTAATATTAAAATGAAAATAGGCAGTTCCTTAAATCATGTTTACATTTTATTGTTGAGAAAGTAGCCAGGGTGGTGAGAATGAAGTTATAAAGTACACTGTTCCCTTTGAAGATTTACGCGTGTCCTCGGTATGTTTTCCATATCAAACTGAGAAGAGGGAGACTGCAGCCTTGATCAAACTTGCGAAGTCTGAACTTACAAGAAGAGGATGCGAGACTGAACTGTGTGTGGTCTACTTAATGTTAAGGAAAAGCCCCAATCAGATCGGCAGCCCCGCCTCAGTTTTTAGATGTCTCCGTCTTTCCCCATCCACACTAAGACAGAGCAGCAGCGTTTTAGAATGAAAACGGCCTCTCCAGTGTTTCCAAAACGCTCCGTTTTCGGCGCTCGAGAAGTCCAGCGTAGTGTGGACGGATGGCGTAACCGTAGCAAAACCTACACGTTTTAAAACGAAAACGCACTAGTGTAAACAGGGCCTAAGTCACTATAAATAACCACAGTCTTTTTTCCACAACTATCCCTCCTGTCCCCCCCTTTACCGAGATTAAGCAGCACGGTGGCCCAGTGGTTAGCACTGTTGCCCCATAGCAAGAACACCAGCGGCTTTGATGGTTACGTTCACGCGGAGTGAAGACCCAGGGGGGTGGAGATAGATGATTGTTAGTGTGAAGTCAAGACCGGAGGGGTGGGCTGAATCTCGTTGTGGCTGGAGGGAGGAGGAAAGCAGCCCATAAGGCAGTTTGAGACACCTGGACTAAGGCAAATGGGGGAGTTTTTGAGATCTACCTGAGCTCAATCTCCCCTCTTGCTCGGCGAATGAGAGGAATCCCTGGTCTTTCAATTCCCTTGAGCCAAAGGCTCTCTTCTGGGACAGCATGCCAAACACGTTTGTTATAAATCATCAGCTAAGTGTGAACTCTTGAAATGTCTTACATCAATTTGCATATTACCAACGTCATCGCATCCAACCATTTCTGTTTGTTTAAGAGCCTATGGTTAATAAAGGGGTATTTATAATTGCACCACGCTTTATACATGCATGTCAATGTAATTAAATGTATTGTTGTTTGAATACAGTATATCAATATAGATGTGTAGTGAATTGGCAGTAATCTCTCAGACATATTAAACTCAGACCAGTTCTGGTGTCACTAGAATCTCTGATTGCAAACAACAAGCAGAAGCAGATCAGTACTAAAGAAATACCTCACGTTTGCGGTGCAAAAACATTTGCCTTCGTATGCAGAGGGGTAATCTGCTCTCGATGCAGCACCAAAAAAGTCGCTATATATGTTGCTTTTATAAATATTTGGTGCTAAGGGGGTCTGAAAAGTCTAAAAAGCATTTTTTTAGACAAGCCCAAAAAATATGGACTTGTTTTAAAAATTGATATGCACAAATTAAGAGAGTTTTTCCTTAAAACAAGCAAAATAATCTGCCAATGGGGTAAGTGGAATGATCATGTTTTTCCTTTTGACTTAATATCATTTAACTTACCCCATTGGCAGAATATTTGCTTGTTTTTAGAAAAACACTTAGGGCTTAATGCGCAAAGTGCAAAGTGCAAATTGCAGGACGCAAACGCTTTCAGGGCGTGTCAGAATCCACTTTTGCTAATATAAGGACGGAAAAATCCGCTTTGTGCCATGGCGCATGATCTAAAAGGGTTGAGCTTATTTTCTTAATGAGTAATGATGAGGTGTGTTTTGAGAATAAACCAATCAGAGTCTCATTTGGTGCATTGCTATTTACATGATGACTTTGTAAGTGTAAAAACTGAGCATTTCACTAGCAAGAAAACAGTTAAACAAAGCATCTGCAGAGCGTGAATGAGAGATAAAGGATTTACTTTCGCTCTCGTGGATAGGAAAACCTTGTACGCACAGACATCAATTAGCCTATAAATAATTAATTTCATTTGTTAAGTGCAAAGATTTGTTTCAAAACTATTTCTAAATTCAGTTCTAATGTCCAGCAAATTAATAAATTAACATCAATAACGAGTTATTGTTACCTGAATAACCTGAGTTATTTCCAAATACACATGCTATGATCCATATGGTCTGAAACCCGACAGGTGGACAAATCTAAGCTTGTTTTTAATAGAACAAATATAAATATGGATATAATAAATAATACTGCTAATAATAATAACATTATACAAAAGCAAATTTTTATGAATGAACTGAAAAAGCCTCCCGAGATGAAGGCATGAAGGCAGTGGTTTTTATATTTATGTAGGCTAGAAAATAATATGTTTTTTGATACTTTAATCCTTTATATTCATATCCTATGTATATCATTATTATATCCTTTATATATCCTTAACATTTTGATTCTTTTTCATATGTAAAGATATTTGCATATTGCTCTACATCCTGTCTGTATTAAGCAGTGTGTAAGCGTGGCGCACAACTTATGCGCTCTGCGCTGGACTTTAGACCAGCTTTGTTCTGGTCTGTTGAAAAATCTATTATAGATTCTCAAAATAGCAACGCACTAGCAATACATCTCAGAACGCCTACCTTTTTAGACCAGAACGCCTATGGTCGAACATATATGAGCGCAAATGCATTTGCTATTTAAACAGCGTGGCGCAAAACGTCAAAACGACTCTTGCGCCAAGCTGAAACTGGCAAACAACAATTGTGTCGCGCCATGCGTCACATTGCGGGTCCCTTCATTTTGATATTATTTCTTAATACAAGACAATCATTTCGGCTTGTCTGAAAATGCTTCTTGATTTAAACATTTTTAGATATCAGAGACAAAACTGAAGAAAAGCATTTTATTTTCAGGGCAGGCTTTAAAATGCATACAGATGATCAGCTGTTTGTTGTTCATTTAAAAAATGGGTAACACTTTACAATAACAGTACATGAATAATGATGTATTAATATGTAAACTAAACATTACTTTATTATGAATTAATGATGAGTTAAGGTATGCACTAATCATGAATTAACTTTAAGTACAACATGAGTCACATGAGTTCATGTGTGAATAACGACTACCTTAATTACTTGTTAGTACATGTTGTTAATTAATGTATTAATTAACATTTAAGTTTAGGCTAAATGTAACCAACATGAACTCATGAGCTGTTAATGTATAGTTATGTCATGACTTTACTTGGAGGGGCACATCACTATTAACTCATCCTTAACTACTTATGAACTCCTCTTCATGTTGATGTTGACAGAACACGTTTCTATTGTTATTCAGTGTAAACTCACTAGTTGTACGTGCATAAGGACTTCATGAGTAGTTAAGAATTGGTTAATGATGATGTGCCCCTCCAAGTAAAGTCACAACATTATTATACATTAACATATCATGAGTTCATCATGGTTAAATTAAGCATAAACTAATGTGGTAATTAATACATTAATTATCAAACAATCATGAACTAACAAGTAATTAAGGTAGCCATTATTCACACATGAACTCATGTGAATCATGTTGTACTTAAAGTTAATTCATAATTAGTGCATACCTTAACTCATCATTAATTCATAATAAAGTAATGTTTAGTTTACATATTAATACATCATTATTCATGTACTGTTATTGTAAAGTGTTACCAAAAAATGCATGCATACAATATGATGTCATTAGTAACTTAAGTAAAAGGGTTGCCCTCAAGTCATTTATAGCTTAGCAAGTATCTGGAGGAGCAGGCAGCTGTCGATTTAATCTGTGTCATTCTCCACTCGCGTCCTTCAATCAAAACCAGTAATCATGTGCTTCTGCATAAATCCCTCTGTGGACATTTTTTCATTGTGCTGCTCATCTTCACCGTGCTGTAAACATCTACCCACGCTCCTCTGCGCTCTGCATACATTTCTAACACGGTTTCATCCTCATGCATGACATCACGCCTGTCACGGCACTCCAGTTCATCTCACAGCGAATTGCTCTTTACTGCAGAGACCTCCACGCAGCACTTCTGCCAGAGTGTGCACTTCTTGCAAACACGGCAATTCTCACTCTCATTTTGTCTCTCTTTTTTTTTTCAAGGCCCATCGGGATGAAATCCAACGCAAGTTTGATGCCCTGCGAGACAGCTGTGCGGTATGCAGATGAGCTTTTTTTTATTCCCTGTGTTTGACTCATCAGATGTGACCCACAACAGTCAGATTTATGTGGATGCTGCGCTTTCTATAACTGGCATATTGAGTCAGAACTAAAGCAGTACATTTTGGGCTAATTATAATATTGTCATTATTATTATTATTATTATTACAGTTTAAGATAACTCACCGGCCACTTTATTAGGTACACCTGTCCAACTGCTTGTTAGCGCAAAATATCTAATCAGCCAATCTAATCATGAACATGGCATGGTTGTTGTTGCCAGACGAGCTGGGGTCTGTTCTTCGTACGTGTATTACTCGGTTAGCTGGATTTGGATATTGACGATTTGACCCGATCCAGGATCGTTTCGTTCTTCAAAGCTGATCCGAGAGTTGTTGTCATGGCAACAGTTCTGCTAAGTCAAACCTGATCGGGAGCAGGTTCAATTCATATAAACAGGATTAGATTGGGTCAGTTCAAGCAAAGATAATAGAGAAAGTATGTTCCCAATTCTGATATTTTCTTACAGTAGTAGTTATATACACTTGGGAAAATGGTAAATATATATATATATAAAGTTATAGTCATTAATAAAATAAATAAAGTTATACATATTAATAAAACTTATGCAATCTGTACCCTCGAAATGAAAGTACAAAGACTGCCACCTGGTGGTGCAAAGAGAAAACTTATTGATATGAACTTTTTAGATCGCTTTAGTACAAATTGTGTATAATAGAAATGCACAATATGTGACTTTTTTTAAAAGCAATAATACATTTATGCAGTCATGAACATGTTTTGATAGTTAATATGCCAGTGATTTGATGCTTCACAAAAGTTGCAGACGCCTTTACCAATATGAAAATGCTTTTGTAAACATCCAGTTATTCTTTACACCGATTAAAAAAACGGCTACAATAATAAAGAAAATATTTTCTAAATGTAGAACTAAATACACTTATTTGCATTGAAATAGATGATCAATACTCTTGACACATGAAAGTGTAAAGCCTGCAGTTCACAACAAATATGGAAAGTTATTGTGTTTCATATTTAACAAACCGTTTACTGCTAATTTGATGTAATTTTGCTAACATGGATAATTGAATATTAATCAGATGATGTCATTACGCTGCTGTGCCGTCAGCCAATTGCTGCATTGCTGATCATGATTTCGAGGATCGATAGATCTGTACTTCACAACACACGCAGCGATCACAGATTAGTTTATCCAGACATTCTAATCTGATTCATGAACTTGTTTGAAGAACCAAATTAGCCAGAGATCAGTTATCAAGATTAAAAGATCCAGGATCTGCCAAATCATCTTAGATCATTTAAGCGAGGTACGAAGAACGGACCCCTGGGGTCTGTTCTTCGTACGTGGATTACTCAGTTAGCTGGATTTGGATATTGACGATTTGACATGATCCAGGATCGTTTCGTTCTTCAAAGCTGATCTGAGAGTTGTTGTCATAGCAACAGTTCTGCTAGCTCAAACCTGATCGGGAGCAGGTTCAATTCATATAAACAGGATTAGATCGGGTCAGTTCAAGCAAAGATAATAGAGAAAGTACCGAATTATGATAATTTCTTACAGTAGTAGTTATATACACTTGGGAAAATAGTAAAAAAAAATTAACTATATATATAAAGTTATAGTTATTAATAAAATAAATAAAGTTATATTAACAAAACTTATGCAATCTGCACCCTCGAAATGAAAGTACAAAGAGAAAATTTATTGATATGAACTTTTTAGATCGCTTTAGTACAATTTGTGTATGATAATAGAAATGCAGAAAATGTGACTTTTTAAAATAAAGAAATAATACATTAATGCAGTCATGAACATGTTTTGATAGTTAATATGCCAGTGATTTGATGCTTCACAAAAGTTGCAGACGCCTTTACCAATATCAAAATGCTTTTGTAAACATCCAGTTATTCCATACATTGATTAAAAAAACGGCTACTGTAATAAAGAAAATATTCTCTAAATGTGGAACTAATTACACTGATTTGCATTGAAATAGATGATCAATACTCTTGACACATGAAAGTGTAAAGCCTGCAGTTCACAACATATGTGGAAGGTTATTGCGTGTCATATTTAACAAACCGTTTACTACGAATTTGATGTAATTTAGCTCACATGGATAATTGAATATTAATCAGATGATGTCGTTACGCTGCTGTTTCGTCAGCCAATCGTTGCATTACTGATCATGATTTCGAGGATCGATAGATCTGTCCTTCACAACACACGCAGCGATCTCAGATCAGTTCATCCAGACATTCTAATCTGATTCGCAAACTTGTTTGAAGATCCAAATTAGCCAGAGATCAGTTATCAAGATTAAAAGATCCAGGATCTGCCAAATCATCTTAGATCATTTAAGCGAGGTACAAAGAACGGACCCCTGGTCTGAGTATTTCAAAAACTGCTGATCTACTGGGATTTTCACGCACAACCATCTCTAGGGTTTAAAGAGTGAGCGGCAGTTCTGTGGGCGCAAATGCCTTGTTCATGCCAGAGGTCATAGGAGAATGGCCAGACTGGTTCCAGCTGATAGAAAGGCAATGGTAACTCAAATAAGCACTCGTTACAACCGAGGTCTGCAGAAGAACAACTCTGAACACACAACACGTCCAACCTTGAGGCAGATGGGCTACAGCAGCAGAAGACCACACCGGGTGCCACTCCTGTCAGCTACGAACAGGAAACTGAGGCTACAATTCACACAGGCTCACCAAAACTGGACAGTACAAAATTGGAAAAACATTGCCTGATCTGAAGAGTCTCAATTTCTGCTGTGACATTTGGATAATAGGGTCCGAATTTGGCATAAACAACATAAAAGCATGGATCCTGCCTAGTATCTTCAGTTCAGGCTAGTGGTGGTGGTGTAATGGTGTGGGGATTATTTTCTTGGCACACTTTGGGCCCATTAGTACCAATTGAGCATCGTGTCAATGCCACAGCCCACCTGAGTATTGTTGCTGACCTTCTCCATCCCTTTATGACCACAGCGTACCCATCTTCTGATGGCCAATTCCAGCAGGAAAAAGCACCATGTCATTAAGTGTGAATCATCTCAGACTGGTTTCTTGAACATGACAACGAGTTCACTGTACTCAAATGGCCTCCCCAGTCACCAGATCACAGTCCAATAGAGCAGCTTTGTGATGTGGTGTAATGGGAGATTTGCATCATGGATGTGCGGCCGACAAATCTGCAGCAACTGTGTGATGCTGTCATGTCAATTTGGAGCAAAATCTCTGAGGAATATTTTCAGTATCTTGTTTAAACCACACCATGAAGGATTAAGGCAGTTCTGAAGGCAAAAGGGGGTCCAACCCCGTAATAGTAAGGTGTACCCAATAAAGTGGCCGCTGAGTGTATTTGTTATTAATGGTTAAAATGTTGATTTTAAAAAAAAATACTCAGTATAGTCTTATCTGTGTTTTCTGTTGGATGGAGTTTAGCCCCAACATACTCATTAATTGTAATTTCAAATATATAGTTGTTAAAATTTTAACCTATATTTTGACATTTTAAATTCACTTATATGCTATGTAGAACATTAAAGCACACACCCTGCCTGCATTTATTATGCTTTCTATGCATAAAAAATTGCTAATATAATTTCATGCGGACAACAAACTGAGATGTCTAGTCTTTGACCCATATACACATATTTAATTTCCCATATTTAATTGCATATCTGTCATAACAGCAACGCTATAAATCTATTCTGAATGACTTTGCTCACTTAGCGTTTTATGAATAGCAAAAAAGTGTGAAAATGAGTGCTATAATTCAAGGGGTTGTTATTATTACACAAAAAAACAGTAAGGAAGATAATTTAAACATATTGGTAAATAGAGTCATAAATAGTTTTGTTAAATGTTTTCTTGAGATGGATTGGGTAGCTTTACATGGACATAGGAAAATTAAGACCTGTTTACAAATGATTTAAGACCAGCAACACAATATTTCAGCGAATCTAAGATTTTTTTAAGGCCTTAAATTAAGACATTTTGAAACAGTTTAAGACCCCACTGACACTGAGAAAGCATCACCAAACAAAATCTTAGCATTTTGTATTTAGTATTATTAGTAAATGAAAGTGCACAGGAATATGCTGCTACTTTCTACACTTTGTGCTCATAATACAGCTGAAAAACTGAGCAGATCAAAGCGTGTTTAGTGGAAAGAAGCGTCACCCGAGGGCTGGGATTATAAGAGCTTATGAAAGACGGATTGAAGAGCAAACAGTCACACAGTCAGCAGAACTCAGATCTGAGAAGAACTCGCAAACCTTTAACCATTAATGTGAGCAATAGTTATAATAATGAGCCTTAAAGGGGCAGTTTTTAGGGTTATCAGTAAGTTAAAGGGATAATTAATTATTTATTCATTTAATTTATTTGTTTATTTATTTATTATTATTCATTTATTTTTAGCTATTGTTTTATTAATGTTTAATTTATTATTCATAATTTTTTGCAATTTAATAATAAGAATAATAATAATAATAATTATTATTATTATTATTATAAAAGTTATATAATTAGTTATTTATTCATTTAATTTATTTGTTTATTTATTAATATTATCATCATTATTATTATTATTATTATTATTATTAATAATAATTCATTTTAGCTATTGTTTAATTATTGTTTAATTTATTGTTCATATTTTTTTGCAATTTAATAATAATAGTTATTATTATTATTATAGAAGTTATATAATTAATTATTTATTTAATTAATTTAATTGTTTATTTATTATTATTAATTTATTTTTAGCTATTGTTTTATTATCGTTTAATTTATTATTCATTATTTTGAGCAATTTTATTATTATTATAGAAGTTATATGATTAATTATTTATTCATTTAATTTAATTGTTTATTTATTATTATTATTATTATTAATTTATTAATTCATTTTTAGTTATTGTTTTATTATTGTTTAATTTATT